CAGGGGGATCAGGGAAGTCAGGGGTATGGAAGACCCCGTTTTGATTGGAGGACGGCCATCTGTCAACATTGTGACCAGCAAGGCCACATTATAAGGTTCTCTAATATAAGACGGGAAGACGAGAGAAGCGGACTGATTTCCTCTACTATGGATGGGAATATCTACGATCAGTTTGGGGAGGTCGTCGACAAAAGGCTTGGAGGAGTGAGGGCTGAAGCCCAACGAAGAGCGGCAGCTGGGCCGCAACCCCCTGCCATGTTCAGGCTATGGCAGGAAAAGATGGAACTACCGATTGGGGAGGAGGAAGTAAGGAGTGATGAGGAAATGGTTCAAAGGCTACTAGGAAGGAGTAAGAAGAAAGAGCCCATAATCATTGAGGCAGAAGACGAAAGTGGGGAGGAAAGAACGGAGTCTCCATCCGTCTTATATGGGAAGATGGAAGACCTGCTGGATAAGATGGGGAGGTACCAACGGAAGCTGGTGGGCCTCTGTGAGGAAGTGAAGAGATGGAAATCTAGCATCCCCAAGGTGTTCCTCTACTACTCCGGTCCGGAATCAACACCTTGGCGACCCGGAGTAAATGTGGTGGGGTCATGCCCACAATCAAGAATGAGGGGGAGACCCCCCACTCCGCAGGCACGGCTGACGCAGGCAGCGCGAACGAGAAATCAAGCCAGAGTCAGCGCCAGCCAAGAACCTCCGAGGAGGGAGGCAGAGCCAGAAAAGAGAAAGGAGGTCGTGGAAGTAGAAGATGATGATGATGACGAAGAAGAGGAAGAGGACGAGAGGCTGCGTAGGGAAGAGGATCAGAAAGCGAAGCAGCGGGCGAGGAAAAAGGGAACCAGGGGAGAGGTCGAGCCGGTCGTGCGCGACGGACCGCCCAAAAGGAAGAAATACGCGTTCCGGTTGGAAGAAGGATTTGACGTAGAAAAGGTGATTGACCGGGTGATGGAAGGGCATAATGACCTCATGACCCTGAAGGAAATCTTAGCGTCAGCCCCGCGACTCCGCGATGAACTGAAGGGGAGGTTGTCACGACGTTTGGTGCCCAATGTCCATCTGGGTACGATTCTGTCTAAGGAGGCAGAGTGGTCGGAGTCAAGCACGAAGATGGACTGGAAGTGCGTAGCCTGCGCTACGGTGGATTTGATGGTGAAGGGGTCCAAGTGCGCAGCAATGGTGGACACCGGGGCAGAAATGAACATTATTCGGGAGGCAGACGCGATCAGATTCGGGCTGGATATAGACCGTTCTGACTGCGGTATTCTGCATGGAGCCAGCTGTAAGGCCGTGTTTTGCGGGACAGCCTCGAATGTGCTCATCGAGGTTGGAAAGGTGAACGTCAGGGCATGCTTCTTTATAATGCCAGACGTGGACCATGGAATCCTCCTAGGGAGGTCATTCCTAAGCAGGACAGAGACCGTGATGTTTAACAAACATGATGGGACGTTGATCCTCCTTTTATGCGATCCTCCCTGCGGGAATTATGAAACAATTACTTGCAGGAACACCGGGCCAAGGAGTATAAGGAACCGGCCCAATCCAGGATCGTTCACGATCGAGGAGTCGAAAGGGGAGCGTAGGAGACTCTGGGCAGAGCCCGAAGCAGGAGAGAGGGTGAAAGCATTTTTCCTCAGCCTGTCAGATACTGGGAAGGCCATGGATTTGGTCGCCGTGCATGAGATGGCAGATCCGGATGCCATCCAGGCCTTGAGGGAGCAAGTTCTGGAATGCCCTGAGGCAGGAGGGTTGGAATTGGTATATCGGCTCCCAGGAAGTGGAGGGAACCCCGCATCAGCGCAAACACAATCCGTGAGTCGGCCTTTTTTAGGGGACGGCTCAAGCAGGGTTCCTAAAGGCGGTAGAAGACGGTAGACAAGAAGTGTCGCCCGGTTCCCGTCCTCGTTACAGAGGACGAGGAGGCATATTACGAGAGGGAACGAGGGTTGATTCGACGAATGAGGAAAAGTGCTTTAGCAAGGCCATGTCGTATCCATGAAGGGAACGAAAAAAAGTTGATCATAGGGGAGTCTGATTTCCTACTGCCCCAAGAGCGAACGTTGATGGTGGAATTAATGAAGAGGAAGCATCGCGCTTACGCATTTAGTGACGAAGAGCGTGGCAGGCTCGATGTAGACAAGATACCTATGATCCGCATACACACCGTGTCACACGAGCCTTGGAACATGAGAGGGGCGCGATATCCCAATCCTGACGAGGAAAGGAAGGTGGTGGATTATCTCGACGGCAAAATACGTACTCACGTCGCCGACTATTCAAGTGGACCGTATGCATCCCCGTGGTTCTGCTTTGTTAAGCCTAACGGGACGCTGCGGTGGGTGCAGGATTTGCAAAGATTGAATGCAGTGACCGTGCGAGATGCTGGAGGGCTGCCAAATGCAGACGCGCTGTCGGAATCCTGTGCTGGAAGGCCTATAATTTMGCTTATAGACCTTTACTCAAGATACGATCAGTTCCCAGTCTACCCGCCGGATAGGCCGGTGACGGCTATGCATACGCCGCAAGGACTAATCCACATGAACGTGGCCCCTCAAGGGTGGACCAATGCGGTAGCAATGGTCCAACGGGCCATGATTCGGGCTATGCAGTCAGTCAGCCCCCATATCCCACAACCATACATTGATGATTTGGCAGTGAAGGGGCCGGCGGTGAAAGAGAGCGACGAAGTCTCACCGGAGGTAAGGCGTTTTGTCTGTAAACACATTCAGGACCTCGAAAAGGTCCTGAGCTTGCTCGAAGAGCATAACCTCACGGCGAGCGGGGCCAAATCCAGACACTGCATGAGGGAAGCGACTATCTTGGGATTCGTCTGCAGTGAGAAAGGCCGAAGGCCGGATGTGAAGAAGACAGACAAGATTATTGAGTGGCCAGTTCCGTTCCACTCAATAACTGATGTCAGGAGCTTCCTTGGTACGTGTGGATTTTGGAGGGCCTTCGTCAAGAACTTTGCCGCTAAGACTGAACACCTGAGGAAGTTAGTCCGTCAGGATCAGGAATGGGTATGGGGTGAAGAGCAGGAAGAGGTGGTGGCAAAAATGAAGGAGGAATTTCGAGAAGGAGGGTTGGTGTTAGGAGCGCCAGATTATGACGCCACAGAGACGCGGCCCTTCATTATTGAAACGGATGCGGGACCGACTGCCTTAGGGGGAGTTCTAATTCAGGCAGACATGGAAAGAAAAGAAAGACCCTTGCGATTTGAGAGTCGGACTCTCTGTACAACAGAAAGGAACTACTATCAGTTTAAGAGGGAGACCCTTGCTGTCCTCCACTGTCTGCGAATCTTCCGGAACTATATCTTCGGCAGGAGGTTTATTTTGAGAGTGGATCCGACCGCCCTGGCCTACTCTCTAAGGAATTACGTTTCATCGGATCCAACGGTTGCCAGATGGCTGACGTACATCTGGATGTTCAATTTTGAGTTGGAACGGATTCCTGGCAGCAAGAACCGGGCAGACGGGCTGAGTCGGATCAACTGGGATAAGCAGGAAGGGGAGGCGGTGGAGAATACGCCCCCAGTTGATGGGTTTCTGGATCAGGAAGAAGATGTTCGTCTCCATATCAATAAGTGGTCGCCGCGGGTGCCCAGCTGTGTAGGCTATCCTATTTGGCAAGCGCCGAATGGGTATGAAAGGAGGAATGGGCTAGTCCTTAAGCCCTTTGAGGAAGAGGATCCCTGGGGCGGTAAGGATGTTCAGTGGATGATGGAATTAGCGCTGGCCAGCTCGCATAGCCTGGTGGAGGATATGAGGACGATTGAGGAAGGACCTGGCCAGGTAGAACGGCATGAGGACCTGATGGGAGGAATGTATCTCCTCGTCAATACGTTATTGCAGGAAAGCCTAGACCAGTCAGGCTCGTTGAACCCGGCAGGGGATGTGAACGAAGTGCCCGAGAGCCAGGACGACGAGTTCGAGGAAGGGGAGATTAAAGAGGCGTTTCATATAGAGGAATATGACAGGATCTACCTAGAGTTAGGGCTTCTTCTATCATGTGAAATGCGGCTTAGGGATGCAAGCGATAGAGCTCAGAGGATGCTGCAACGCTATCTAGTGCGAGACGGCCACCTTTTTGTGCGAAGAGAAGCGGTAAATCCTAGGAGAATCGTCTGCGGTAGAAATCGTCAAATCGACGTCATAGCTGCGCTTCATGATGGCATTGCGGGAGGGCACCGAGGGATACAAGCTACGTATGCCAAAATAAGTGAGCTCTACTACTGGGATGGAATAATGGATATGGTCGGGAAGTTCTGCCGATCTTGTGTACCTTGCCAGGAAAGGTCCCGTTTAAAACAAGGAGAGCCGCTGCATCCAAGGCTAGAGCGAGAGGTGGGGGCCGTAGTACATCTCGATCTGCTTTTTATGTCGTTTGGGGATCAAGGCTATAACTACATCTTCGATGCGCGCGATAACCTGTCTGGGTTCGTAGACGGGCGTGCTATTCGCACGAAGACCGGGTCAGTCTTAGTGAACTGCATCGAGGAGTATTACTTGCGCTATCCTTTCGTCAGGGAATTCGTAATGGACAGGGGATCGGAGTTTACTTGCCAGGAAGTGCAAGAACTTTTATCAAGGTATGGTGTGGCAGCCAACTACACCACGGCCGCGCACCCCCAGGCAAATGCTCCCGTGGAACGAGGACATAGTACCATTACGAATCTCCTGGCTAAATGGACAGAAGGTAGGCCTAATCARTGGCCAAGATACCTAAGGGCGGCTTTCTTTGTTGAGAATATTACAGTAAAAAGATCCACCAAGTACGCACCGGCGACGYTGTGGTACGGAAGGCACGCCACCTTCCCTATCGAAAGCTTTCTTAACACATGGAGGCGCCAGGATCTGGAAGTTAACCTGTCATTTGAAGAATTGCTCGATATTCGGGCGCGGCAGATAGGGGCGATAGAAGAAAGGATCCAGGAGGCGTCTGACCAGGTGGCGAGAAGCCGTATGGACGATAAGGCTCGGTGGGATCAATCTGCGCGGGTGAGGAAAGTACCCTTGGCAGTTGGAGATGTCGTGCTTCTCTACGATTCATCACTGGAGAAGCAATGGTCCAGGAAGCTCGATAAGAGGTGGTTAGGTCCCTACCGGATCGCACGGGTCAGAGACTTCGGAGCATACCAGATCGAGGAAGCAAATGGGACTGAGTGGAAGGATTGGGTATCTGGAACGCGACTGAAGAAATTTGTGGCGAGAGAGGAGGTAAAAGAGATGACCTGAATGCCTTTAGAATAGAAGTAACAGGGTGTGTAGGTTAGGTAGGATGCGTGCTGCATGAGTGTGGTCTGGTCTGAGCTTGCTTTGATTATCACCTGCTTGCTTACCCCAATGTGTGTCTGTTGTCTCCCTCGCCTCTTGTGCAGGTCTGACTTTACGAAGACAACCATGCCAAGAGGAGGGAAGGGGACACGGCCGCCTCAGAGGCCGTTGGGCGCATCAGGAGGATATGAGCGGCATGGGCCTCGCCATCGAGAGAGTACTCCGGTCTACAATGATGGGGACATCGAGCTATTCTTGGACAGTTTCTGGTAGCATGCAAGGTGTATGGGTTGGACTGTCGCTCAGGCGATTGAGGGATTGAGGGGAGCAGGTAGGTTCGAGGAGCCCATTGCCAGGATTCGTAGGGAGGCGACGACGAGGCAGGAGGTGGAGATGAGGATGGAGGAGTTGCGACCCTCACCTGTGGGACCTGATTGCAGGCCGATCTGCCTGGAGATTGGAAATGCGTCGGACTTCATCCCCGCGTTTGAGTGGTTCATGCAGGGGCAAGGCATACCGAGAGATGATTGGATGCAGACGCTACCACTCTGGACCAGGAAGGCGGAAAGGCCGCTGGCTATGCAGATCAGGGACATGGCACGAGATTGGGAGAGCTGCAGGGCACATCTGAGAGAGGCCTTTCGACGGCCAGAGCTCCCTCAGCCCAGAGTCGAGAGGCGGCAGAGGAGTCAAAGACCGAGGGACCCTAAGCCTAGGGAGGCGAGACCATCACGAGGAGGACAGAAGGCCCTAGCCAGGACAGAGGAGGAGCCGAAGCAGGAGCCAGAGGTTGAAGAGCGAGGGACATACCCTGAGTGTGGGTTGGGACCAGTGGAGTTTCATCGTTTTAATGAGGGTGGATTGAGGAGGTCGCCAGCACACCCACGGGAGGAGCCGCCAGTGTCTGAAGAGCCGTTGAGAGAGTTAGAAACGCATCTGGATATCTCTCAGTAGAAAGCGTCGCCTCAGGATGAGAAGTATGAAGAGCAAGTAGAGGAGGTGCCACGAGAGAAGGTGCCACAGGAGGAGATACCGCAAGAGGAGGTGTCACAGGAGGAGGTGCCACGGAAAGAGGTCCACGGTACCCAGCGAGAGAGAAGGCTGGGCGATGAGGGGAGACGTGCAGGGAAGGAAGTGATAGAGGTTGGCGAGGACACGCCCCCACAGACGCCAGCAGTGGGTTTGAGACTCAGAGATGCACCAGGGAGCACCCAACACGCGAAGGAGAGGTTGCAATTAGAGGAGGCTTCTTTACCGTCGTCAGAGAAGGCTCCTTCGCCAGAAGGGAGGGCAGCTATAAGGAGGGAAGCTTTGACTTTGATTGATAGGCACTTGGCAGCTCATGCACTGGAGCACCCAGACCTGGAGGAGCCAGCACCTGCAGAGCCACGCCAGGAGTCATGCCAGCCCGAGAAGGAGATGGAAGCAGAGATACCAAAGAGGGTCGACCTCCGCACGAGAGAAAGGGCGCCAGCTGGAGAGACGGCTGAAGAAAAGAGGGTGAGAAGAACTAGACGGATAGAAGAGATATGGCAGGAGAGGCAGAGATTGGAGGCAGCGGGGGAGCTCCCGGAGCAGCAACAGGAGGGGCAGCGATCAGAGGCAGCAGGAGCACTCCCGGGTCAGCCAGCCAGCGCACCAGCTAGGGCCCCGAAATTCCTGAGATGTGGAGAGACTTCTGGGAGCAACGAGGGGAGGAACTTTCATCGCCAGTCAAAGCCGGGTTTGGAATGGCCAGGAAGGCGGAAGAGAGGTTAGATCATAAAATCAAGTTCCTGGCCAGGACCACTTTTGACCGGCACTTGTTATTGGAGAGCGATCTGGCGGGGAAGAAAATGAAGAAAGCCAGCCATGGAGTACGCTTGGAGGCTATGGAAATTGAAATTCAGGAACTCAGGGCTTTGGTGGCCAGCCAGACAGCTATCATCGAGAGCCTGAGGCAGCAAACCCAGGGAAGGGTGGACAGGCCAGAGAGCAGCAGGCAGGGAGAGCAGAGGCAGCCCGGACAAGGATTGCCAGGACAGCCATCTGCAGCAGAGCCTCGCCAGGAGCCACCTATGGGGAGAGCTATCCTGGAACCAGAGGAGGCAAGAGCCCGGAGACAGGCGGAGAGAGAGGCATTCGAGTTTAGAGCCCCTACTGAGCTCGCGACGCTGCCAGTGACGGCGGCAGGCCCAGTCGTACCTTTGGTAGTAGAGGAGGGGCCGTCACCATCTAGCAGTGAGCCGGCTCAGGGCTCAGCAGAGGGATCCATGGGCGTGCTCCTTAAGGCGGTGCATACTATGCAGGAAGAGGTGAGTTTGTTTTCGCCTGAGCAGAGGATAGAGGAGCCTCTTGAGAGAGAGATGGGGATTGAGCTAGAGGGTGCTATCGAGAGCAGACTCCAGACGATAGGCACGCCTAAGTATGGATCAGACGAGATTGAGGAGCAGCCCATGGCAGCGCCAGGAGAGACACTCGAGAGGAGACCTCATAGATTGGACACGCCTGAGTACGTCCCAGCGACAGAGGACTTGAGAGGTAGAGTAGGATCTTGGATTACTGAATCTGGGTCTGCCGGACCGGTTCCTGGGACAGAGCAGCAGGAGGTTGTTAGTACCGCAGCTCCTCGATCAGAGCAGCAGGGGGATGTCGGTACCTTGGTGGGATCTCTTTCATCGCCACCTCCTCAGCCCAGGAAGAAGAAGTTCAAGAAAAAAGTAGATCAGCTATGTTTCTACTGCAAGAGGGACGTGCATCTGGCTTTGGACTGTCTCGAGTTTCTTGAGGATAAGGCAGCAGGGAAGGTCTCAGAGGTAAAAGGTAAAATGTATGATAGACAGGGTAAGATAGTAGAGAAGTCCGCAGATGGACTTAGGGCTCAGTTATATAGGCAAAACAAGGAGGAATTGAGGAGGTAGGGTCGGTTTTGTCTATATAAGTGAGCGAGCATTTTGTGAGGCATCAACTTAGGTTTTGTGTGATACCATCTTAGACTTAGAAGACATTTTGATGATTACTATTAGTCTAGATCTGAACTCTAGTATTCCTACTAAGTTGGAATCTTGAGGATCAGGGTGAGTTAGATGAGGCATGTACATATTTAGGTAGCCTACGCCCTGGCCTGTGAGACACAGATCTGACATGTAATCTAGGGGCAGTTGTTAGTGTAAGTTTGGTATGATGTGTGAGACGTTTTATTTTTCCTTGAGTATATATTATGATGAGGTTTTTTACCACTCCTATATGTGACGATCACTTGTCACTCTCACATATGTGGTTGTACTCTGATGAATGATGAGTTTGGGTGGACGATGTGTGAAAAACATCTGGTGTATTATAGGTACTGTGAGTATGATTGTAAGTTAAACTGTCTACTCCTCGGTATACTTGTGCGACCTGCCCACGGCAGCTGATAAGGCAGAGTATGAGGGGAGGAAGCGCAGTTCGTCTGTGAAAGCTATGTAAGTTGTGATGAGGACTCATAAGATGGTCTCTAAGTGATGTTTCGTTTTATGATCGGACCCCCTTAGATTTTGGGAAAGGGGGGGGATGTTTTATGATGTTTTGTGATGTAACGAAACCCCTCGTGACTTTGAGAGAGGGGGTGTTTGGTTTATGATGAGACCCTCGTGATTTCTGGAAGAGGGAATGTATTGTTTTATGGCGAGACCCCTCGCAATTTTTTGGAAGGGGGGGTGTTTTGTTTATAAGAAGAGCCCCTTTTGGATTGTTGGAAAGGGGGACTGTTTTTTTTTGTTGGAAGACTCACCCTCAGAAGTGAGTAAATTGATTTATGGCATGATGAGTTGTTTGATGGCTGATAAAGTCTGACGAAAAGGGTCATTTTTTTGTTTAGAATGCTTGAGAAAGTCGCAGTGAGTGCAGGGCAAGAGATGTCTCAGAATGGGTGGCTGCTGGCTCTATCAAGTCAGGAGTCACGGCCTGGTGGACCTAGCGGTGATTTTGTTTGTGAGCGTGCGAAGGATGCCAGGCCTATTGTGGAAGGGCCGGTAACTGCCTTCAGACCCCTGCGTGATCACACAGTGGGCCAGTAACTTTGTTTTGCGACGCCCCGCCTAACCACCTGTGCTAGTTCTGAGACATATTGAAGGAAGGCCAAGCTAACGGAAAAGAAGTTAGTACCTCTAGGGCGTAACCCCATTGGATGGCTGCTAGCCGACGCAACCTGGCTGCGGGACCGCGGGGTAAGAGTTTAAGGGGGAGCCCGCCCCAGTGAAATTACTCCGCGGGATAATGATGGTTGAAAACTTTTGGGGGAAATCCTGATTGAGTGCTTACCAGGAAGTAACCTATCGTTGCGTAACCAACGAAGGTACTGCCGTTAAATAACAATGCGGTGGGCCGTGGTCCTGGTCCGATCAGCCAGGCTATGGTGGGCCAAGGTGGAGACCTAGCCTTTTTGTACTAGACTGCAGAAAGAGCTGAGCGAATATTAAGTATATATATATATACTCGCGTGTTTTTTATTGTGAAAATTTTTTAGAAGAAGGCGAGAATGCCTTCAAAAGGTCTCGATTAAGGCCCGCGTCCCTAGTTTTTGCCAGGACTGGGGACACCCAACGAAAAGCCGAAGGTTGTGTACGACCGGGGAGAAGACGATTGGGAAGGTCTTTGGAACTTATGCTGCCAGTATCCTAATTTCTAGACGGTGTGAGGCCCAGGTTAGAAACCTGCAGGTTAGAAACCTGGCAGCATATAGTTGTGAAGGCATGGTTTGATGGAGGCCTCTACCCTGTGTTTGTCGGTTAATCGGATTGGCTTCTGTTTCGTCAGCATTTGGAATGTGGATGGATTTATAGCTTTCTGATTTGGCGAAGCGATGGGGACGTCGCTTAATATGGTGCGGTAAGCTGTCGGTGCGAATACCCTTACAAGGGTATCCGCCCTGGTTTTTGTAAGTGATTGGAAATAGTTTGGTTTAGAGTTTAAGTATGCCGCGCTAAGCGCGGCTGAGTCAGTAGTTGCGTGGACTAGGTGGTTGACCACGATAGCAAGTGTGTGGGCGTGCAGCTTTAAGGTGGGCGTGATTCATGGCAGTTATTGACCGTAAAGCCGGCCCGGACCTCGGTCGTTTCGCTTGGTAATATTATTATTTATTTATTAAGTAGGGATTAAGGATATTTTCTTTCGATGATTACGTTTGACCGAGAAGAGTGCACGTGCGGAGAAACGACCCCGACGACGGCGTCGGCAACGACAGCGCGACTACGTGCGATGAGCGGGGTGTCGTAGGATGGCGCGCGGGGCAATTATGGCATGGTGGAAGCAAGCCGGCACGGGGCACTGGGGGCCTCGCAGCCGTTTTTTTTGGCCCAAAGCGCCGTGCCGCACCGTCTCGTATGGTACTCTGCGGGCACTAATCTCAGGCTTGGGCATAGCCCTATAGGTTACGACAGCGGGCTGTTACTATGGAGGTTCGGGGATCGAGGCCAGCAAGCGTCGGCGCGGCGGCAGCCGAGTAGCGAGGAGCGAAAGCCTGAGGGGTTGAGGGCCCTGTGGGGCTATCCCCCTCGATTTTGCTTATGGGTGGGGCGGCGGGCCCGATCCGCGGAGCTAGCAGGGTGCCAACGATCCTGCGGTCCCCCGACGTTACCGTTATTTTATTTTAGTTCCCTTTTCGAGTATTGTTCTGGTCCCTTTGCTACCGCGTCCCGTTTTGGGACGCGGGACTGCGGTAGGAGCGTGTGGGGGTGTGTTGTATTTGCGGGGTTGCCTGAAGTGCAATTACAAACTGTTTTCGAAACTACGCCGGAGCCGCGCCCGGCGTCGTTTTGCCTGGGCGCRGCGCCGTGGGTGTGGCAGACACCCGAGAGCCTGGCTTAGTGAGTACAACCCCGGACTGCTTGGCGCGTTGAATAGAGTTGTTACCTTGTTGCGATTTTTGAGCCCCGTGACCACCRTTTCACTGCCCGTATTGATCGAGGGGYGCATGTGYTAGCGGATAGCTTGACACGGGGGTGAGAACAGGGCACTGTTSACGAGACCGAACCCGGACGGGYATCGGTGCCGCATGCATATGGAAAAGGGGGCCGAGCGCCTTGAGGTTTGCCCCCTCCCTCTTCGCTGCTCTCGAGCGCCGCGGTTAGAAGCACCGGGTTGGGTGCACAGCGCCCCTACCRAAGGCAGCGCTCGTCGGTCGRGAGTTTAGKGGCGAAAGAMAAATCGAACCGTGTAGTAGTTGGCTTTCYCGAACTTCCTCCTACGATCACCCGACGGGCCGAGCGCTGAGACAGCGCTGCTCCGAGCAACAGCAGGAGGGCGGGCGGAAGGCGGTGAGAATGTCGAGGTGGCCACGGCGACGGGAGTTGTCGGACAGGTGGTAGTGGGAACGAGCGGAGAGGGGCGGCCTGAAAAACTGGGTGCAACAGGCAAGCGGGCGATAAAGTGCAGGGAAAAGTGGTGGAGGGCGGAGCCAGTGACRAGCAGACGSAGAGGCGAGTGGATCCGGACGGAAGTTTGCGCCGGATACATGCGAAMAGTGTGGGTYAGGAAAACAGGCATGACGGGGTTGTGAGAGGGAGAGAGAGATGTCGCTYGGTGAGATTGGATAGGGAAAAGGTATAGGCGGGGGTTATCGGTGTAGGCGAGGTAGATGGTGAAGTTAGTTTTAGTAAGGATTAGTAGAATAGCGGGATTGGTGCGCTAAAGCTATGGCGGAGGAACGAAGGAGAGAGACAAGCGGAAAAGTGCAAAACTCACCCGATTCTTGATGAAATCGGGTGACTGGAGACGTGTTTTGGAGGGTTTAGGGGGCTGCGAATCCAATGGCGGGCTTGGATTTGAAGATTAGTAGATAGATTTGGAGTTAGTATGAGAAATTTGTGCGCCGGAGCTATGGGGAGTGACGAAGAAGTGGGGAGGAGGATTGTTGTTCTTGCTCGATACTTAACGGAAACAAGCGATTAAAGAGTCTATGTGGGGGTTTTAAAAGGTGGCGAACCTGTTAGAAGCATTAGATTAGTGGAAGAGTTAGTGTAGGGAGGTGTTAGTGAGAAAACCGGTGCGCTGAGTAGCGGGGAAGAAGGGGGGAGAAGCTGAATGCACCCGGACGCAAAGTCGGGCCAGATCCACTCGCGCACGCAGACGAGAAAGGAAAGGAGATAGACGGTGGAAACAGAAGGATAGCSCGCCCGTTTCTCAGCGAAAACGGGCGATTGAAGGGCCGATCCCGGGGTTTTGGCCTCGGGCGAATCCAATGGTATAGTTAATTTCAGTAGAAAGTTAGTAGATTAGGTGTTAGTAGAGGAAGAGGGTGCGACGAGCCATGGCGGAAGACAGAAAAGGCTAGGATAGAGGATACTTACCTCGCTCGATTCCTGACGGAATCGAGTATGGGAAAGGGCAAATCCGAGGTTCTAGCCCAGGGAAAATTCGTTGATGCAGTCAGTATGACGAGAAAGCGAGTAGAAAGTGAGGAGAGAAAGAGAGGAGGTGCGCGGAGGTAGGAGATGGTGAGAGCAGAAGATAAAGACTTCAGCCGATCTCCGACGGGGTCGGGTGGGGAAAAAGCCGGTACCGAGTTTTTTGGGCACTGCTAGCTAACTGGCGACGTCCGCCTTGAAAAAGAAGTGGCATGTTTGGTGATATAACTATAAAGAGCTGCGCCCAGGGGCAGCTCCCAAAAACTAATGAATCTTCCCGCTTCTAGCGGAAGATTCATCCTTACCGTTTCCTTGCTCAGCCTTACGATGGAAGTGGGGCGAGGCTGGCCGCGCGGTAGAGAGCTGACCTTTTGATCGAGGTGTTCCCACGGGTGAAGCAAAGAAGGATGCTTACCTGTCGGGTTGAGACGATCGGGTGGGGGGATGGAGTCACGCTCGATTCGCTTTGAGAATGAGGCTCAAGGAGGGAGTTGTCTACGGCTAGTCGAGCAGGAACGGCGGGCTGGGTCGGGTAGTGAGGAGCGCCCGTGCCATGCCGATTGGGGCGGTGCCGACTGTGCCCTCAGGTTGTGTTAAACTGCGCGCTGACCCAATACGGCCTATGGCTGGGCTTGAGGTCGAGTCTCGTAGCACAGCAAGGCATTGCTAAGTCTGCGGAGGCAACACTGTCAGTAATTGGGGCTGGTGTTGGCTCCTAAGGATCACGGCGATCGAAGACCAGCAGCAAGGGTGCCAGATCCGACTACTAATCAGTGTGGCACTTACCCCGTTGGCCTGCACAACGACAGGCGGGTACTTTTTGAAGCTGCGGTTGTGGGCTCCCTACGGGTCCGTCGTTTTGCTGTGGGCCTATACTACAGCGGCTTCTTTGGCGAGTCTGCCACTGATCTTCTCAGCCGTGATTGGCTTTCCYGGRCCAGGCCATCGMTGTGCATTAGAGGGTTGTTGTTGCTTTCCGTAGGAGCGTTTGGGTGCGACACTTGGGAGTTWGTCCGTTAGTGCGGGTGGCATGGTTTAGAGGCTGGAGTACTKGTGAATTGAGGACGGGTGTGTATGYGTGATCTAGCTCAATATCCCATAGCACCATTGAACGCGCTGCTAAGTCAAGAAGTGTGTGACGTCTGTGCGCAGTTGCGTTAATTGGGGGAGATAGTTGAGCACGGTTGTTGTATGCGTCAGCAGCCTTCCTAGACTGTACAGCGGGGTTGGCCAGGGAGATGTAAAATGGAGTCATTGCTGCGATCTGGAAGCTCATCAGGGAAGTTGGGCTCAGCAGTTTAACTGGGTGCTGACCAAACTATTGTGTCGTTCGGCCACCATTACGGGGCCCTCAGGCGATTCAAGATTACGAGGCCCTCTCTTGCGAGTCTGAGAGGACCATCCTTGTATCTGAGCGACTCAAACTTTCTATTTTCTGCCCTTCTTAGTCTAAGTCTAGTCTAGTTACGAGAGGAAGGCGGCAGGCGGGATTGCAACCCGTAGGTCCGCGTCAAGACTCTGTGGGGAATCCACCCTCCGATTGCGGGAGCTCTGCCGGAACTCAGGAGGAATTCTGGAGGCAGGGAACCTTCAGGTAAATCATCTTTATCTGTATAAACCCCACTACTACCCATGTTTGCCTATCTCCCTGTAGTATGATTATTGTATGCATGCGATTGTCCCTATGGTTTTTGCATTCTCTTCAGGACCTAATCAGACTAACTGGAAGAAAAAAAAAATGTGTGAGAGTGAAGCCTAAGTTTCTACTTTGTTCTGATTGAAAGCAGAATAAGGATGAATTGGGGGGAAGGTGGGAGGAAGATAGACTGCATGTGTTTGACCGGGTCAACCAAAGCCTGAGCATTGGTTCTACTGTGAATGGCTGAGGGCTATGTTTATTTGGCTGTTTTTTGAAGGACCAGGCATTGTTTCTACTGTGAATGGTCTGGTCGCTGTGTTTATTTGATTGTTTTCTGGGGAACCAGACATTGTTTCTACTGTGAATGGTCTGGTTACCTTAGTTAACTCTGAGGGTTTGTCTGATTGAAGGCGTTTAAATTCTTGTTTATTTTTTAGGGAGGATTTTTAGTCTAAGGCTAAGCATTGTTTCCATGGTGAATGATTTAGCCTGAAAACCACGCACATAATTTAAACCAAGTATAAAGGAAAGTATTTTATGTATATTTGCATGTGAACTGGCAGTTGGGCATTGTTTCTACTGTGAATGGTCCAGCGTTAAGCCATATCATTAAGAARAAAAAAAGGAAAATACAAAGTATAAATGAAAATAGTTGGGCAAGCTGAACATTGTTCCTACTGTGGATGGTTCAGTCCCCTGYCCGTATTTKCTTTTCTTTTTTTGAAAATAAAGTCAGAGAAGTACTAAATTTTTGGATATTAAAYAGCTCAGGGCGACTAGGCATTGTTTCCATGGCGAATGGCCTAGTCAYCTGCCCAAAGGAAGAGARAAGTAGTTGTGAAACCTGTTCGTGTATATCATAAAGACAAGCTGGACATTGTTTCCATGGTGAATGGTCCAGCTCTATGTCTTATGTAAGATGGGTATAAGGGTGCAAGGACTTGAAGATTCATGAACTATCTATATGGAATAAACTTGGGGTGGTGAGAGTACTTACATTGGTGGTTTGGTTTGCATGTGGCTGAATGGGATGGCTAGTTTGTTTAAGTTTCATTACTATAGGCAGTTGCTGTAATTGCTTGCCACGTGCTAGAGCCATAGGAGTTAGTGTCAATTCCTGCATTTTCTGTAATAACATTTTTTTTACTTAGATCGATTCCTGCATTTTCTTAAATCTTTTCTTATCCTTGGTTTTGTATAAGTCTTGGCAAGCTACTTTTCCTACGGGAAGCGCTGCCGAAATTTCTACAAATCCAAGAAGTTAATCAACTTTTGACTTGTCAGAGGTCAGCTTGTCTTTTCCATATATGGATTAGTATAAATCTGGAAGGTCTCCTTTTTTAGAGGAAGTGCTGCCCAAATTTTTGCTAATTCAGGGAGTTAGACAAAAATTGAGCTTTGGGAAGTTAAAGTTATTCTCAAAATTCTGAACTTAGCCTTGTATAAATTTTGGAATAGCACTTTTTCTAGGGGGAGTGCTGCCGAAATTTCTACAAAATTAAGGAGTTAGTTAAATTTAGTCTCAAAAGTTGAGCTCGAGCTGTTGTTCGAGTTCATATCTAACTTAGTATAAATCTGGGAAGTCTCCTTTTCTAAAGGGAGTGCTGCCCAAATTTCTACTAATTCAGAGAGTTAGACATAATTTGACTTTCCAGGAGTTAGAGATTATCTCATGCTTTATATCTGACTTAGTATAAATCTGGAAAGTCTCCTTTTCTAAAGAGAGTGCTGCCCAAAATTCTACTAACTCAGGGGGTTAGACAAGATTTGGCTTTCCAGAGTTAGAATTCATTTATATTTTTCATATTTAGACTTAAATAAATTCTGGAAAAACAATTTTCCTACGGGAAACGCGTACAAATTTCCTTGGTTTAGAGAAGATAGATTATATTTTGACAAGTGGCGATTCAGGCGATCCACCCTGAATAGGTGAGAGTCTGTAGTTGATTTACCTTTAGCTTAAGCATTTGGTTTAAAAGTAGATTTAGGTTTAGCTTATAAGAAGATTTTGAGGAAGGATGTATTATGGAGTTGTATTCTCCATACACTTATGATCTTAGCCTGGGAATTGGTCTGTCATATGTTACAGGTTCTTTTGATCTTTTGATTCAAGATCAGGATTAGATCCAGCTTGATCCYTTGAGGATCATTATCTGTTATCACTGATAACAGGTCGGTTACCGATTCGTCGGTCTACGACTCAATTTCAACTCTCCCTCTACACTCAACCTAAAAGGCTTTAGCCCAGGTGATTTTCCTTGTTTTATTAAGGTTTCACCCGGACTTTTATTGAATGGCCATTTAACAAAGGTGCTGAGTGTTTAATTAAGGTTGGTTGGACAAGAGGTTTGGGGCTTGCATGGCTAAAGCGAGGGGTATGAGTGTCGAAGGTGGTTGGGGTTGACTCCGTGTAGTGTGTGGGCTGTTGATTTGGTTCGTTGGTGTGATGGCAGGTATGTGCTGTGAATCAGAATTTTGGATTTGGTTGCCTACGATCACACATATACGTATTATTGTAAGAAACCCCAGTGAGGCCGTGAGAAGTGATCGTYACATGTTTAACCCTTATATACGCATAAATGGGCATACTTGGGACGAATGTTTGCATGGGTTGAAGAATCCCCATATTAAAACCCGTCCAGAAGCTRGGACTGAAGAACTYAGGGGAGGMCCCTACTTCTATTTTTATTCCTGCTTTGTTGGTTTTCTTAGTCGGACGTTGGTCYTGGRCTGGGATTCGAGGTCCTTRTCCAGGACATCCCAAGCCCTAGGCTCTGCAAGGGAGGGGCTTTCCCTCGCGCAGAGCCTATTTGAGTTACCTACSGAGACGCTCAGGTCAAGAGCCTAWGGCGTAGCGGCGGCTGCACGACTATTTCCTTCAGCAGTGCAATGTCGTGAAGGGTTAGGCCCTCACGACACTTCAAGTCTGACACTTGAGCGTCATAAGCGGTACTCGGATCCACGAGGGACCGCTTGATTATGGGCACTACATAGTACGCCATCATGGCGACTGCTTGCGTACGTTTGCATTGCGAGTCGATATGAGTAGGGYCTGCGTCCGCGCGCTTTTATCCTAACTTTCGCACGCCACGGCTATCCGATTTTTGCGTCGGGAAGTTATGGGACGGCTACCGAGGGGCTAGGAGCATTGTCGCGTTGTTTGTGTCATGTCGTTTCATACGTGTGCGTATACATGTTTTTTTTATGTTCTTGTGTTCGTAACGTAGAGTGCGCGTGGTGTGTGGGAAGCGTCCTACTCGACCGACGATGAGTCGCGCTTGGGGCCTCAGCCCCCCCAAGMTGTCGGTTCGCGTGCGGGTCCGATAAAGGCGTATTACCGCGCGTACCCCCTATGCTACARCGAACGAGAAACGCCCTCGGCTGGTCCACCTCTGCGATTGCAGCTGATTAGCTTTCGTACTGTGGACTGGTAGCTCGGCGGGGATACGCTCACCGAAGGGAGGTGACAGCTCCCGTAAGGTGTAGGTAAGTCGTGCCTCGCGTAGGCCCTATCCTGTCGTAGGGGCTCGCGAGAGGTATGGCTGGCGCACCCGGCCGGAGCGGCTTGTGGAAGCTCCATGTATATTTGCGACGAAGGTTTGTAAAAACCAACTCCTGCGTGACGCGGCCGGGAGCGTCCCGCGCTGCCCCCGTGCGGTGCCGGACCGATTGTGCGCCCGACAGGTGGCGCCGTTGCCGGGGATAACGGTTGCCTGCCGTTGTCCCTGATGGAACGACATCCGGGTATGAGAAGTGAACGAGAAAAGGCATAGAGGAATGATGAGAAGGTAAGGACAGATAATGAATGACTAGGTGTAGGTGAGGAAATTTACCTACCCAAGTAGAGGAAATATGAGGGACGATCGTGTTAACATTGGGTAAAGTAAGTACTAAGGGTTAGGTAGGAAGGATGGAATAGACCGGTCAAGGTATAATGTTGAATAGGGGGATGTGCTTGTTTTCTTTTGCCAGGGAAAAGGAAAGGCTATCAAGATGCCTGAGACCGGCGGCCCATCAGTTGTTCCGAAGAAGGGTCTGACACTCGATGACCTCATTGCGGCCATCGACCGACATGAAAGGRACCCGAGCAACATCCCAAAGGTCGATACTTTCCATTTCTGTGGGGAGAGAGTTTCAGAATGGCTAGAGCGGGTGGAACAAGCTTTGGTTGGGCGGTCGGACATTGTAAAGTTTCAATGCATCCTCCAGTATGTCTTACACAACTACCATCAGGAGGTGAAGAAAGTCATAGAAGCAGCTCAAGGTAGCTGGGAGAGATTCAATGAGGGGATGCAAAGGAAATACCGCCTGGGAGACGGATTGTTGACTACCGCGGACCTTGAAGCGATGAATAAAGAGGATTTTACGACGATAGGGGCCTTTGTACAAGAATTTAAGAAGAGGGCGCGGAAGGTCCATGGGATTTCAGAGGAAGCACAGTGCGCCATCTTCCTGGGGCTACACACGGCATCGGAGGCCGTCGAGTTGACGAGACATGGAGGAGGTAGCACTAAGCTCACCTGGGCCACCATCGATAGAGGGGTGAAAGTGGGATGTTTGGACCAGGTGGAACAACGTCAGGTACGCCTGCAAAGACAAAAGAGAAAGGAAAGAGATGCGACTGCTTCTGGGACCCCGGGAGTAACAAGGATTGTTACAGACGTATTGGCGCAGCTAGGGTATGCGACAGAGCCGGTGGTGCAAAGGAGGGTGGTAACGGCTGTCAAAGTGAAAGGAAAGGAGCCAGTGATAGAGGAGGCTGTTCAGGAGGAGCTCTGGGAAGAGGAAGAGCCGGTGCCGCAGCACCTGACAAAGGTCCAGCGCAAAGTGCGTAATTTGGCGCAGGGCGGACAGGGATCAAGAAAAGCGCAGGCACCTCAGACCCAGGCAGCAGCCCCTTTAAATGTGGCGGCTCCATCATCTAGTACGGGCCCCTCGCAAGGCTGGGCGCCCTCCTACGGGCAGTGGCCCTAGCCGGTGATCAATGCGATTGTGCC